TGGTCTCTAACTCCTGACCTCAGGTGATCCACCTGCCTCAGTCTCCCAAAGTGCTGAGATTACAGCTGTGAGCCACCACGCCCGGCCTTCCACAGTAAACTTTCTAAAAGGCAAAGTTCCCTTCTAAGTTCAAAAAACCTTCAGTAGCTTCCAAATGCCCTAGAGATGAGGCCCCATTCCTTACCATGGCCAGCAATGCCCATGGTGACCTCACCGCAGCCTGCCTCAGTTCATCCACTTCTCTGGATTTCCCCCAAACTTTAGATCTCAGTCCCTCAAGTCACTTACTACAAGCACCCTACATCCAGACCCACTAACAAGCAATCAAAAGGACACCAATTGGTGCTGTGTCCTCCCTGGGTGCCCCACTCTTCCAAGAGAGTGAGAATCAGGTCTGTATTTTTAGCACAGATCTGGCCCATGGGCAGACACTGTTACTTCAACCCAGACACCATATTTTCTCCCCATCCTCAACAGATATAAAAGCTAAGGCTCCAAACAGTAACTGCAAGTAATATACACTTGCTTTTTTAGCAACAACGACAAAGAATGACTATCCAATGAGTCTCAAAAGCTAGTTTACCAGGTGCCGACGGCAGGGGCTGCTTGCTCTTTGGGGTATGACTCGGTGGCCTGGAGACAGGATGAGGTACACTGGTTGCCTGCAATTGCTTCTGCTTCTGATTCTGAACCAGTTTGTGACTGGAAACAAGCTTTTGTGCTTGCAAAGGAACACGCTGGGAAGAATTTGAAGGACACAGGACCCGCTGAGCCTGGCCACTATTTGGAGGTAATGGATTCTGACAAGGAAATTGCTGAGTCACGAGAACACGTTTTGGACCTCCAACTGGAGCTGCAGGCTTAACAGGCCCTGAAATGCAGTTTTCTTTAGATCGGTCCATGATGCCCGTCGGCTCCCACCTGCGACCCAAGGACCCGAGTCTTCCAAGAGCTCAGCCGTTAGAATTCAGGATTCATTTTTGAACCTTTTATATCTATGTTGCACACACCCACATTCATTTAGAAAACAGGTATAATACAGAAGTGTTCCTTAGCTTAGCATTAGGTGACTAGAACAGACTGCTTTTCTTCTCCTCAAAATAATCTGAATAGACTATCAGTTTCTAATTTTCTGTAAAATTCATTTTTTTGGTACCAAGAATCATCTCATTAAAATGGGGTTTTACTGAGTAACAGTGTTCCTACCTATTTTGCAGAGGAATACTAAAATTCTAGGTAATAGACCTAAAAGAGAAAATCCTTGTCATATGTATCATTTACTTGCCAACATTTAATTTTTCTTAGGTATTCAGTGATTATACTATATTTTGCAAAGGCCATGAAAATATTTAACAGATTTTTTTTTAAAAAAAGAATCTAAGTAGATTTTTAGAAATGTGTTTGGTTTCATCTTATTATATGCACAAATTTCTCCTTTATGTTTTTTTCTGAAAAGGAAAGGAAAGGAAGGGGAGGGGAGGAGAAGAGAGGAGGAGAAAAGAGACATTTCTTTGAAAATTGTTAAGATGTTTCTCCTCCATGAACTTTTTTTTGTTTTTCAGACAGAGTCTTACTTCATCGCCCAGACTGGAGAGCAGTGGTGTAATCTCAGCTCGCTGCAACCTCTGCCTTTCAGATTCAAGTGATTCTCCTGCCTCAGCCTCCCAAGTAGTTGGGATTACAGGCATGCGCCACCACACCCGGCTAATTTTGTATTTTTTAGTAGAGACAGGGTTTTGCCACGTTGGCCAGACCAGACTGGTCTTGAACTCATGACCTCAGGTGATCCACCCATCTCAGCCTCCCAAAGTGCTGGAATTACAGGCTTGAGCCACTGTGCCGGCCCCTCCATGACCTTTTATACCTCCACCAAGCCTACAGACACCACCATAATAAAGTTAAAACTGGTTCTAGTTGTTACATCAGTGTTTCTGACTTCTTACACTGCCCGGATTTTATAAGGATATGGGGAAAAAAGCAGGGTCGTGCTAAGGGAGGCCACAGAAAAAAGCATTTGTACCATTAGCCAGATGTGAGGCCTTAGGAAGTCATATGACCTCTAGTGATATTTATTGATTCATCCAGCAAATGGTAATCCTTATGTTGTTGCTTTCAGCTCAACAACACGAAAAATATTCTTTAGTTTCTAGAAAGATCACAGTCTAAACCCCACCCTTCAATGCATGTACACCAAGTATCACCGGCAGGCAGTCACTCCCACGAATAGCTATACCTGTCCTAATGACAGCAAATTCTGTGATATCCAGTATTGTTAGAAAAAATATTTTGTAATTCAAATGTCATCAAACATAAGAAGTTAGCATATATGGTAAATATAAGCATGTAAACACTTAATATCAAAATTTTACTAAAAGTAATTTAATTGATGCCGGGTGCAGTGGCTTATGCCCAGGACTTTGGGAAGCCACGGTGGGCAGATCACTTGAGGCCAGGAGTTTGAGATTAGCCCGGCCAATATGGTGAAACCTCATCTCTACTAAAAACACAAAAATTAGCGGCAAAGCTCACGCATCGGCATGGTTAATGCCAGCAGCCACTGCACCTCCTTCTGGCTGACTCGCCTCCCGGCCCTGCGGTCAGGCCCCTGGTCACCCCACACTCTCCCTCCTTCGTTTCTTGAAGATCTCGAATGTCACCTTTTGTTGAACATCTCGAATAGCATCATGTTCTAGACAGATGGCTAGAGCGGACTTATGGACAAGAAGTTATCACTGAAATTAAATGGTAGCAGACATGTCCAAGGAATATTGTGGGGATTTGATCCCTTTATGAATCTTGCGATAGATGAATGTATGGAGATAGTGACCAGTGGGCAACAGAACAATATTGGAATGGTGGTAATATGAGGAAATAGTATCATCATGTCAGAAGCCCTGGAATGGGTATAAAAAATGGCTGTTCAGCAGAGAAACCCATGTCCTCTCTCCACAGGGCCTGTTTTACTATGATGTAAAAGTTAGGTCATGTACATTTTCATATTAGACTTTTTGTTAAATAAACTTTTGTAATAGTCAAAAAAAAAAAAATAGCTGAGTGTAGTGGTACACGCCTGTAGTCCCAGCTACTTGGGAGCTGAGACATGAGAATTGCTTGAACCTGGGAGGCAGAGGTTGCAGTGAGCTGAGATCATCCTACAGCACTCCAGCCTGGGTGACAGAGACTCTGTCTCAAAAAAAAAAAAAAAAAAAAGTAATTTGATTTTGGATGACTCAACGGGCACTTCATAATTCTTAGGTTATCTTAGGGCATCACTATGAGCTACCACTGTGCAGTGCACATATGAAATATCTATTGGTGGAATGCCAGTTACAGAAAGCTTCATTCTCTGTTTTTAACATCACCTTGAGCTATGTTCAACTGATAAAAGACAATATCCTTGCACATGTCTTTGAAGGTTACAGAAACTGGAACTAAGCCATTTATTCTAAGATTCTATCTAATAACAGAGTTTCCCATAATCAACTGACCTAGATGTGAAGTATGTTCTTTCTAAGCAAAAGTGATATTTAATGATGGAAGGATGAATTAATTGAGCACAGGATTTGTCAAGATTCCACCAATGAGGAAGACTGAGGACTGCCTAGTAAATGGATGGTCAAAAGCAAGTCCCCTAGATTTTATTCGCATATCTGCTATCTCAATTCCTGACTCTGTGTGTGTGTGTGTGTGCGCGCATGTGTGTGTATATACATTTAAATTCCAGAGATCAAGTAATTATAGTCATGACTTGACCTTGCAAACACCAGCATAAATCTGATTCCTGAGTTGGCCTTAGAGATGATCCAGACCAACATATTCAATGCAAGAATGTCTTGTCTGGTTTCGAAGGCACATGATCCTATAGAGCAGGCTTGAGTGTTTCAATGACACAGCACAAGTGCAGTGACCTTAGCAGGCACTGTCTATTCCACTGTGGGATGGCTCTAGTGGTCAGAAAGTCATTATGTGTCAAATGGTACCTGCTTTACACTGACTTCCCCACAGTGGACATTGGATGAGGTATAAGGTTAGGCCCTTGCCCTGGTATGGCCAAGTCTTCAAATTTGTTAACGAAGTATTCATAGGTTCAATCCCTACATGGGATAAATGAGTTTTAAACAGTGAAAACTTGATTTTCGACCACAGACAAGAGTTGGCTACTGGCAAATTCTATGAAGACTCTGGGTTCACAAGGGGGGGCGAGATTCTAACATTGCATCAACTAAATCCTTCACCACCCTGGAAAAAGAACTTAGAGTATGCATCCTACTAAATGGGTAAAAGCAGCTTCATCATTACACACTAGAAGGGATATTGTGACTTTGTATTTTAGTAATATACAGAAAATGGCAGCAGCTTTAACCTAGCTGCCCAAGGGAGTGAGGCTTGATTCTTCCCAGTCCCCTTTTCCCCAAGTCTAATGGGTCACCAAATGCCATCACCTCTACCTCCTAAATAATTCTTTTTTTTTTTTTTTAAATTAAGACTCAGTCTCACTCTGTCGCCTAGGCTAGACTACCGTGGCACAATCTCAGCTCACTGCAACCTCCACCTCCCTAGTTCAAGCGATTCTCCCACCTCAGCCTCCCAAGTAGCTGGGATTACAGGCGCATGCCACCATGCCCGGCTAATTTTTGTATCTTTAGTAGAGATGGGGTTTCACCACTTTGGCCAGGCTGGTCTTGAACTCCCGATCTCAAGTGATTCACCCACCTCGGCCTCCCAAAGTGCTGGGATTACAGGCATGAGCCACCACGCCTGGCCCTCCTAAGTGTTTCTAAAATCCACTGCCTCCTCTCCATCCCCACAGGCTTAGTTCAGGCCCTTATCTTGTCTGTACCACAGCCACGTTGACCTCCACAAAGGACAGGGGTTCTGCCTATTTTGTCCAATGCTGTATCCCCAGGACTGAGAACATTACTTGCCACATAGAAGGGAGGGCTCAGTAAATATCTGTTGAATACATTTTAACAGCCTCCTAAATGACTTTCAGCCCTGTCAATTTCAGTCCTCTTGCCCTCATGGTTTCTTTTGCAATATGAGGTCATTCCCCTGAGTCCATCCTTCCCATACAAGACAGACTTTCAGCTTCTTAGCAAGACAAATGTGGCCTTTCAGGCCCCAGGCCCAACTGACCCACCAGAGTCACCTCCTGCCACCAAAACACTCATACCCAAGGCACGTTAAAGAGCTCGCGGTTCCCTGCATTCTTCTGCTTCTGCGTCCTTGCCTCTCTTCTGCCCTCTGCCCGAAATGTCTGGCTCCCCTTGTGTCCTGGCAAACTTCCACTGGACAGATCAATGTTCAGCTTAAATATGATGTCCTGTGTCATATGAACTGTTCCTTACCCGAGCACCCAAGAACACTCTGCATTTCCACCTCCTCCGCCCACTCTGAAATTACTGCTATCATTTGCCCGTGTACTTTCTCTCCATGTTATTCTTACTAGAGACTGGCACATAGCAGGTTTGCAGTAAATGTTGAAATCAATTGAAAATATAGCATAATGAGGTATTTTTAAGTGTAATACCTGTAAATTGCTTTCTGCTGTGTAGGTGACAACATGCTAGTGTTGTTAGGAGTTTCTCCACAGTTCCACGGCATTCACTTCCAGATTCTCGAAATCCACTTTTCTAACTTATTTGAAAAATTAGAAGTGCTTTTTTTCTGTCACTGCAAAGTCATCTGGGTATCACTTCGTAACACAGATGCTAATAATCCTCATACACATGTCAAAGTGGTAACAACCAAAGCTTTTAAAATAATTTTTTCTTTCTAAATGAAATATGTTTTTTAAAATAATTTAATATTTTTCCTTTTCCTTTGGGTTTTCTATTTCATAAATTCCAAAGAACATATATCAAATATGCCAAATCTCTAAAAAACAGAAGGTGTATTTCATGGCCAGAATACTTACACACCTCTACCTAAGGGCAGGAGTTCAGCAGGACATAATACAGTGTCCAGTTGCCTTCCAGAATAAAGTTTGGTTTTCCGGAGACGGGAGGCGGGGGAGGTTAGGTTAGTTATATTCCTAGCATAATATGCAACCTAAAGGTTAATTTATAAAAAAGAAGCTGCTACTTTTACAGTGTTGTACATAATATATAAAGAACACCCAAAATTGGCCCAGTGGAAAAACAGATCAGTTATGCCAGGACTTAAATCAATGATCGTCCTCTCTCTAAAGGTCACATTTAAACTTGCCTAGTCCACTCCAGGGCAATCCCTGGCCTTGGCGTCTGCCCTGGGATCTCTCCAGCCCCTGCCCCAAAACTGCACCTGTCCTGGGAGGCAGCCTGGCCCCGCTAACTCTTCTCTCCCTGGGTCAAAAGAGCAAGGTGGGTTCTTCTGTTCACACTGCCTGCACCTTGCTAACCAGCTCCAAAGGCTTCTGAGGTTCTCACATTGCCTTACTTTTCTATGCTTTCATTTTCCATTTCATCCTTACAAACAGTTCCATGGTGTACATTTCCATACAACAGTTTTCCTGGTGGTGGAGGCCAGGCCGGAACCTGGGTTTCATTTTCTTTGAGCGATATTTACTGCCTGTAGCTTATACATTTCGATGGCAAAAACAATTCCTTTGGGGTTCTCGGCCTCATCAAATATTCTCTCTATATAGAGTGTACAGACTCTCCTAGACACAGTAGTCTGTGTGGATTCCCACCCCCTTAGAAAGGGGTCACTCTGTGGTACGGACCCTGGGCACCTCATTCAGCTCAAGTAGTGGTCCCACGTCTCCCACAGGTGTGTCTGTAACCACCTCCTCCTTATGGCCAGGAACTGGCTGCGGAATCCTTCCCAGCCTGCGGGAGGACGTCACCTCCAAGCCTCCGGGTGACCTGCAGAGGGGTTACCTGTGGCCCCCAGGCCGGCCCTGGACGCTTCTTGGACCCACCCTCTGTTCACTACCCACCCTTTCCCACCAGGTCAGGACCCGCCGGGGCCTGGGGATCCTCCCAGGGCAGCAGTCTCGCGGGAGGGCCGCCCCATCCCTCGCCACCCTCACCCCGACAGGCTCCGGGCCGCGGGGCAGGGCGACGGGAACCGTTTTCAGGCCAGAGAAGAGCCCGTCGGGAAGGAGCCGCCGCCCCCTCGCCCACCCCTGCAGCCTCCTGCCCTGGCTCACCTGCCGCCCGGCTTGGCTTCGCTCAGGGTCACTGCTTCCTTGGCATCGTGCCGCCTGGAGAGAGCTGCCGACCAGGATGGGACGTTGACCAGGGAACCTGCCGGGGGGCGGCGGCGTCAGCTGCGGTGGCTAGGGCACCAGGGCTTGGGGAGCCTCGGGCTGATGCGCGGCCTCGCGACCCCGCCCAGCGTCGCTCAGCTGACCGCCAGCCGCTCCCTGCCCGCGCCGGGGAATTTCCCGGGCCCCGCCCCCAGACCCCGCCCACCCCAGGCCCCGCCCGACCAAGGCCCCGCCCGACCAAGGCCCCGCCCGACCAAGGCCCCGCCCGACCAAGGCCCCGCCCCTTTATTGCGTCCTTCCCCAGCTACCCACCCTCGCGGTCCGTGCGGGGTCGAGGCTGGGACCCGGGTGAACAGGGACTACGCCAAGGCGTCACTGTGACGGCGTTAATCAAAATAAATCATTAATCAAATCCAGTGTGCGGAGTTGGTCTTCCCTGTGTCTTCCCCGCAGATCCCTTAGTGGAGGCTAGAGCCGCAGGGGGGTCGCTGCCGCCCACAGAAAGAGGAGAATCCCAGGCATCCTCGGAGGGAGGCCTCCATCTGTGTTTTTTTAAAAAATGCTTACATCTAGACATAGTTAACTGAGCATACATAGCTTTCCACCCGTTTTCGCTTTAAAATACACTCAAAAAGCAGAAAGCCTGCAGGATGCTTCTTGGGCTCTTGTTACCGAAAACAGGCTCCGCTAACCTCCAGGCGCTCCAGGTGTCCGGCGCCGGGATTCACGGGTGCGCGGGGATTGCATCTGGGAAGCAGCCTCGCTGGTGTGGAGGAGGGAAGCTGCCCCCGGATTAGACAGTAGGATGGCAAGGTAGGAGGGAGAGCCGCCCTGTGTGCATCCCGAGCACCCGGGCAGCGCCTCAGGGACGCGGTCACCCACACGCGCAGCGTCCGATCGCGAGGTCGAGGCCTGGGCCAGGCGGTGCTGCCGGCCCCGGGACCCTCGTACAGGAGGAATAAACAGAAATGAGGATGGGGACCCAGGTGGCCTGAGAGAAGCCTGGGGGCAAGTTCGTGCCTAAGCCCAAGAAGGGCGTGAAATCCGGGAAGAACTAGATTTACAAATGGAGGCGCTGGCACCGCCCAAATCAGTGAGAATAAGAGCACGTGGTTGCGCATCCACGCTGCTCACTGGCAGGAAGGAAACGCAAAGGAGAGAGACAGAGAAAAACAAAAGCAAAAAAACTCTAATCTGAAATAGAAAAAGGCAGATACGCCCTCTACTGGTATCTCCGAAGGATTCCGCTTCACTGTCTGGACCTCCCGCTGCCTGACCAAGCCTGACCCTCAACCCTGCTCCTGAGGCTAACCGCAAGAGCAAGGCAGGGAATCAAGCAAGTCAGGGACTGCCCCAGACCCAATTCCGGGCCCTCGAGTTGGTGTGGTGTAGGAGGGGCAGATGAGGCTAGAGGCTGCTTTATAAGGAGTGAGCCTGGGGGTGGGAGTGGGGAGAAAGAGAATTTAAAAAAAAATTTTTTTTTTAAATCAGTGGAGGAGGGCCAGGCGCGGTGGCTCACGCCTGTAATCCCAGCACTTTGGGAGACCGAGGCAGGCAGATCACGAGGTCAGGAGTTTGAGACCAGCCTGGCCAATATGGTGAAAGCCTGTCTCTACTAAAAATACAAAAATTAGCCAGGCATGATGGTGCTCTCCTGTAGTCCCAGCTACTCAGGAGGCTGAGGCAGAAGAATCGCTTGCCGGGGAGGCAGAGCTTGCAGTAAGCCGAGATAGTGCCACTGCACTCCAGCCTGGGTGACAGAGTGAGACTCTGTCTAAAAAAAAAAAAAAAAAAAAAAAAATTCAGTGCAGGAAATAACTGATCATTCGTGAAAAGGGCTTGGAAAAATATATACAGAGAGAAATGGAATGACGTTCTCTAATTTTTGTTTAACTACTGGGATAATCCAGGCAGAAAAGATGGCGTCACAGCTGTACCCTGGGATCGTCGGAAGAGAGTCCCTCTGGGGCCTGTAAGGGGTTCCTGGGGGTAAGTCGTACTTCACTAGGCTCCTTTTACTATTTAAAACCCTATAGGTGGGGCACAGTGGCTCACACCCGTAATCCCAGCACTTTGGGGGGTCAAGGCAGGAGGATTGCTTGAGCCCAGGAGGGAGTGGCTGCAATGAGCTGTGATTGTACCACTGCACTCCAGCTTGGGCGAGAGGGAGACTTTGTCTCGAACAAAAACAAAACGAGAACAAAACAACCCTATGAAAGTGAATTAAAATGAGCATCAGTGAAACTATGAGCCAAGGGAAGGAGGTCACCTGCAAGCTGCCCATGACTTTGGTGTGGGAGGCTCAAGGTGAGTTTCTGGTAGAGAAAGCAGTCAAAGTTGTTTTCTCCTGAACCCTTGCTCCCAGTGGTGGGGTGCCGGGGTGGGGGGTGCCCTGAGGCACTGCACACACCCATGCACACACACTTCCCCCCCAGCCACTTCTTAGCTATAGGACCTTGACCAAGTTACTTCATCTTACCCTTCCTCATTCCCTTTATCTGTAAAATGGGGAGTATAGTACGCTCCCAAATCCAGAAAGTTCTAAGGACCAAACCTTTTTTCCTGACCTGACCCAACTGATGGAAAACTATTTACAGTCTTTATTTAGATCCCTTGATGTGATTTTTAGATTTGTTTTGTGAAGGAAAATCGATTAGTCGATAGGAGAACTGCGTCAGACCCTGTCAGGGTGTTATGTGATATAAATCCCATGCATTGAATAGCCTTTTGAAAATCCCCAAAATTGTGGACTCTAAAGCAGGGCTTGCCCCAAAGGTTTTATTTTATTTTTTGAGGTAGTGTCTTGCTCTGTTGCCCAGGCTGGAGTGAAGTGGCATAATTTCAGCTCACTGCAACCTCCACCTCCTGGTTTCAAGCGATTCTCCTGCCTCAGCCTCCAGAGTGGCTGGGATTACAGGCATGTGCCACCACATCCAGCTAATTTTTGCATTTTTAGTATTGATGAGGTTTCGCCCTATTGACCAGCCTGGTCTTGAACTCCTGACCTCAGGTGATCCACCCGCCTTGGCCTCCCAAAATGCTGGGATTACAGGTGTGAGCCACAGTGTGCAGCCACCCAAAATTTCTAAATAAGGCATTTGGACCCACAGCCCTCACCTAAGGATGCTGAGAGGACTAAAGAGGAAATATGTATTCAACACCTAGAAAAATGCCTGGCACATGGTGTTTGTTGCTGTTGCTTGTGTTAGAGCTGGTGCTGTTTCTTAGCCTGGATCGTCCCGTTTGGTGACTCCATCCTCCTGCACACTTCCATGGGTAGATGGAATCTAAATGCAGTGAAAACACTGAAATAATAGCATGCTCTTAGCTGATTTGCTGATGTGGTTTTGTGGTGGGTAAATGTAGAGCAGTGTGGGAGGGTGTTTAGTGAGATCCTAATCCGTGTTTGATGTTCCTTGTGTTCCTTTTCACCCCAATCTCCTCTGTTTGGAGTTAGCAACGAGTCCCTTCGGGCTTCCTACCTTCAGGAGTGTTGGCTGGACTCCTGGCAACAGCTCTTAGAAGTACAGCCTTTCTTCTTGTCTTTTGAGAAAGCCTGATCTCAATATATACATGATCTACCCCAGATGTCCTGGAGGAGGAGGAGCCAGAGCTGGGTGGGGTGGAGGCTTTCACAGCAGTTGGAGGGAGGAATGACTCCCCCGCCACCAGATTGGGAGGAGGAGTGGGATGGTGGTCTTATGAGCCTCAAGGACTCAAGCCTTAGTCCCTGCAACACCCAAACAGACAGCAAGCTCTTGGGTTGCACCTACTGGACCTCGGGAACCTTCTGCAGATTCTACTGCCCAGGCTTGTCATTGGCAACAGCAGAACCTGTTCCCTAGAAGAACCATTTGATAATGAGGGTATCAGTGGCAAGGTTGCTGGGATGAAAAATAAATGGCCCTTACTTCAATGGGTACCAAAAGCCCTCCTGGAGTTTTGCATGGCCTTAGAGAAGGAGACCTCCCCTCTCCAGACCCCAGTGGTGCCTGAAAATAGGTTTCCCTACACCCCTGTAGAACTGGGTTTAAAGAAAGTAAAGAGGCCTGGGGCGGTGGCTCACACCTGTAATCCCAGCACTTTGGGAGGATCATCTGAGGTCAGGAGTTCAAGACCAGCCTGGGTAACATGGTGAAACCCCATCTGTACTAAAAATATAAAAATTAGCCAGGCAGTAGTTGTGCGCGCCTATAATCTCAGCTACTCAGGAGGCTGAGGCAGGAGAATCGCTTGAGCCTGGGAGGCAGAGGTTGCGATGAGCCAAGATGGTGCCACTGCACTCCAGCCTGGGCCACGGAGTGAGACTCTGTCCAAAAAGAAAGAAAGAAAAAGAGAGGGAGGGAAGGAAGGAAGGAAGGAAGGAAGGAAGGAAGGAAGGAAGGAAGGAGGGAGGGAGGGAGGGAGGGAGGGAGAAAGGGAGGGAGGGAGGGAGGGAGAGAAGGAGAGAATAAGAAAAAAGAAGAAAGAAAGGAGAAAGGAAAAAGAAAGGAGAAAGAAAAAAGAAAAGATATGTAATATTTTTATATGCATCTGAGCTGGTAGACTAATATTCATACTTGCTACCCCAGATGCCAAAGACTACATATGCTATGACTTCATATGCATTAAATGTCCAGAAAAGGAAAATAGAAAAAGACAGAAATCAGACCAGTAGTTGCCTGAAATTGGGGATGGCTTTGACTGCAAAGGAACTCGAGGGGATTTTTGGGGAATGATGGAAATATAAGAAATCTGAATTGTAATGATAGTTTTACAACTTTTTAAGTATAATTGACAGCCATGAATCATACACTTACAAATGGGGTGAATTTTATGGCATGTGGATTATACCTCAATAGAGCTGTACAAACAACACCAAAAAGAACACGACCTAATAATTATGTCCAATAAAGCAGGGGTCCCCAACCCCTGGGTGGTGAACCAGTACTGGTCTGTGGCCTGTTAGGAACTGGACTGAACAGCAGGAGGTACACGATGGGTGGATGAGCATTATGGCCTGAGCTCCGCCTCTTGTCAGATCAGCAGCTGCATTAGATTTTCATAGGAGTAAGAACCCTATTGTGAACTACACATGTGAGGGATCTAGGTTGTGTGCTCCTTATGAGAATCTAATGCCTGATGATCTGAGGTGGAAGCATTTTATCCCAAAACCACCCCCGCACCCACCACCATCC